GGATTCCTTGAACCCAAATGGATTATTTGCAAAGAAAAGATGGATACATATTAAAAATTCAACTACTTCTTTGGGCATTTCAAACTCTAATTAACTTACACACTTTAACATATCGATTTCCTGTGATAGATTTTGTTCTGATGGAGCACCATCTTTGCATGAAAAGGGATTCAGAGTTTAGAATGAGGTAAGATATCCAACAAATAGCATTCTCTATTCTTCTTTGGCAGCTCCAGAAAGGAAGAAGGTTCCCAGCAGTTCATCCCCCTTCCCCAACTGCCTTTTCCAGCACCAATAAACCCATCTCAGAATGGGGACCTGCCTCCTTCTTAGGAACAGCCAAAGAATTTGCTTTCATATGTGTCCACTGGTGCCCATGAATTTGCTTCACATTTCCATGGAGGAACTGATCCCAAATATTTCCTCCTAGGTAGGAATGGAGACTGGTGCCAGTGCCCTTCTCTATCTAGATAGGTAGAGATATCACTGACCTAAGTTTCTGGCTCCTTCATGGACTCACTCATATAGCTTTCACGACAGTTGTATGCAAGTGGGTTTCCATCACCTTATTCTCAGATGTTTTTCCCCCTTCCCAGTATAGGCTGTAGGCTGCTGGTCTCCCATCCAAATCTTAACCAGACCAAGATGTTTAGAAGAAAAAGGACTAGTCATCATCCCCTACTCCCCCCTAATTTCCACAAAAATAAACCCAACATTTCTTCATCAATCTATCCATACTGCCATTTATTTTAATTTATATTTTAAATAAATCTGCTTATATAATATACTTGCTGTGAAGAAATTCCATAGGATTGCAGGACAATAGTCATCAACAGCTGAAGCCAGATGGTAGCTTTTTCTCTGAGTTTAAGGTGTTTTAAAATGAGCAATTGGTGCTTCTAATACATTCTTTCATTCCTCCCAAATGAATTTTTGTGCATTGTTTTGGCATTTTTAATTTCCTTTGAACACAGATGAACAATGAAACACATGTTTGTCCCTTTATAGAAGAAACCTGTATAAAATCACTTATCACATTCTTTAAAAGTACTATATCTCTATTCCACCACTAAGTATCTCCTATTTGGGGAAGATTCAGGTAAATTCCAGAATGGAAATGAACCAAGCACTAGAACTCAAAAGCTTTTATGCATACCTGTGGGATTTTATAGATGCTCAGCATGCTTGCAATATAGTGGGAGAGGTCAGAATCGGTCCCTTCAAGGACAGCCAGCAGATATTTCCGTCTTCCACATTTGTAGTTTGGAACATTTGCCTCCCCAGCAGAAAGGAGGTCTAATAAGGCTTCAGCATTTGTTTCTACATTGAAATTGCTGTCATAGATGTTGTACCCCAAAGTGATGTTGGGTAAGATGAGGGGATTCTGGTTGATCTCACGGATAGCAATCATGAAGGACAAGAGGTACCCCTTATACGGATTGTCTTCCCTGCATAAATGGATGATGTATCACATCATTGTCCAAATTCAATGTCAGTGTCATATTTGCTGCTTCCTTGTTTGACTTAAATGGAGATAACTAAGGATCTTAATTCAGGAAGATAAATAGAATGTGACAGGCGTGAATGGAATTGGGGGGGTGGGGAGGTGGAAAGAGTCATGGTTGTCCCAAAGGCTAAATGCAACATCTGAAAAAAGGAAATGCTGAGAAGATTGAATGCTCAAAAGACTTAGCTGATCTCTTGTACTTAATTTTGGAGTATTCCAGCACTAAATTAAAAACTAAACAATGGAAGAATTAGTGTGTCTCTACATATGTGACATGTAAGAGAGGGAAGAATGGGGATGGATTTAGTTTTACTGCTATTCTAGAATTCATAGCATGGTTGCTGATTTTTCATATTTTGGAAAATTCTGCCTGTGCAATCTGTTGGTTTTAAACTTATCTACAAATTAACCCTGTAATGTTTTTTTCATCTCCAGAGTAACCTTGTCGAGCAGTTCAATACCTTCTCATTTATTCACATTTTAAGTGAACCAGTATCATTTATCCTTTTATTGCTCATTTCTTTTTTTTATAAGAATTTTATTACTTTTCAAACAAGAAAAAATACACAAAAACATCAGTAGAAAAATAGACAAAAAAGAAATAGATAAGAAGTGTGAAGAACAAAAGAAAAATGGGGGGAATAAAAAGAGACAGAAAATAAGAAAAGAGCAACTTCTGACTTTCTTCGTACAGTTATAAGTAAAATAATACATTAATTTCTTACTCTAGTAATATCAATAAAACACAATATTTCTATAGCAAAAACAGTTCTAAATAT